ACTCAGATGTCACACACACTGATCCTTGATTCACTCAGATGTCACACACACACACACACACACACACACTGATCCTTGATTAACCAAATCCTTGATTCACACAGATAAGTCACACACACTGATCTTTGACACACTCAGTTAATCACACTCTGATCCTTGATTCACACACAGTCAAGTCACACACACTGATGCTTTATTCACTCAGTCAAGTCACACACACTGATCCTTGATTCACAGTTAAGTCACACACACTGATCCTTGATTCACATTCAAGCCACACACACTGATCCTTGATTCACACAGTCAAGCCACACACACACACACACTGATCTTTGATACACTCAGTTAAGCCACATTCTGATCCTTGATTCAGTCAAGCCACACACACTGATCCTTGATACACTCAGTTAACACACACTGATCCTGATTCACTCAGTCAAGTCACACACACACTTATCCTTGATTCACAGTCAAGCCAAACACCCTGGTCCTTGATTCGCAGTCAAGCCACACACACACTGATCCTTGATTCACTCAGTCAAGTCACACACCCTGACCCTTGATTCACAGTCAAGTCACGCACACTGATCCTTGATTCACAGTCAAGTCACACACCCTGATCCTTGATTCCTACAGTCAACACACACACACACACACACACACAGATCCTTGATTCACTTAGTTAAGTCACACACTGACCTTTGATTCACTCAAAGTGAAGTCACACACACTGATCCTTGATTCACAGTTAAAGCACACACTGATCCTTGATTCACCCACAGTTAAGTCTTCTCTCTCTCTCTCTCTCTCTCTCTCTCTCTCACACACACACACACACACACACACTGATCCTTGGTTGACAGTTAAGTCACACACTCTGATCTTTGATTCACACACACTGATTCTTAATTCCCAACTTCCTTGATTCACATACTACTCATACCTTATTTCTGTCAGCACTGACAACCAGGCTGGGGACCTATGCTGCCACAGAAGGTTGGAGGCATGTAACAGATGACTGGTAATAGATACACAGCAATTGACCAATCTGCACTTGACCATGTGATACCTTCTCCATGTTATCTATATGGATGGAGATAAACGTGGAAATATATATATATATATATGAGATATATTATGGTGAAAGCTCATTATTAGAAATTAAGACATTCACATCTACATTTTGGATTAATTAGCTAAATACATAAAACAAAAAGTGAGATGATATTTTTATTGTAGATATACAACTTTCAAGAAGGAAATAAACACAAAATTCAACCTGTACCAAACTCGTTATGTAACAGCGGCTTGCCATGTAACTTTGTCATGTAACTGGTTAATACAAGTGAATATAATATTTCAGGTAAATGCTTCAGGGGTGGCCATACATTCTTAAGATCTCAGCTATATTAAGACTCCACCTCTCATGACCTTGACTTTGATATATTTCATAATGGATCACTCTGACCTTCAACATCAGACCGCCATGATGTTGCTGGAATATTGCTAAAAGCGGCATAAAACCATTCTCACTCACTCAACATCAGACCATAATGTGGGGAAAAAAATACCTACAGTTCCATGCAGGATCAGAATGTCCCTAAAGAGTGCATATGGAACTATGGACAAGGAACAAGGCAAAGTCCAGACATATGTAGCAGTCCTTTAGTCAAAGTAGGTTAATTATAAACTGGGAAATGTATTTGTGGTGGACCTTAATAAAATGCCATCATCTAGAGTCTCCACTGCCACATTGATTATCTTAGTATAACACTGTTGCTGGAAATGGAACAGTTTCCATGCAACCGTGTCCTCTCATAAACATGCTGTTTGTCATGTAACTGCTTGTCATGTATCTGCTACTTGTCATACAACTGATTGTCATAAAACTGGTTTTCATGTCATTAATTACAAGGTGAATTACACAAAAAATAACAAACAGAAAAAGCATATGAATATTCCACAATTAAAAAGACATGACCTAAAGTTTGTTAGCCATCAACTATTAACAACAAACAGCATCTTCATTAACAATATTTCTGAAGTGCAAACGAACATGGGTGACTAATGGAATGAATCAAAACCTTGTGGTTAGTAGAAAGCATCAATGGAATCTCCAGAGATTACAAAGAATACAGGAGTTTATATGTTGAGCACACTATAAAACACAAATATGCAAACCAAGGTTTGAAAAATGTCACAGAGGGTTCAATTTTATCCTCCAAAAAACACCTGTTTTGTTCTTCCTGCTCAAAGGAATGTTAAGAGACTGGATGAAAATCATAAATGCAGGAGTGGACAAATATCTTACATCAACAAGCATGGTGGTTCTCCAGTTTACACCATGGGTAATCAAAATGACAAAATTCATTGAAAATGAAACAGTCACTGGAACTGTTAGTAACCATGGTAACATTTGTCTGAGAGTCTCACAGAGGTTCATAACAAAACAAATACAGTTTGTCTGGCAAGCTTACATCATGAGCTATATGGGAGTTGTAGACAGAATAAAGAGGGAAAACAAAATATCAGATATGTCTAGACATTTTTAGCTGAATACACAAATGAGTTCTCAAATTTATTATTAACATGACATTTTATTTTACTTAATACATTAATAAACTGGATTGTACCTTTACACCAATAAACTATATCTTTATAAACATCCACCTGCGTCAATCCTAGAGTACATCTGTCTTTATTATCATGCTGAAGTACCTCACTGAGGTACCAGTGCACCAAGAAATTAAACTCTAAATAACACAATGCCCTAAATCCAAAACATACCAATCGTTTACCAAATCATGTAATTTATCTGCACATTTACAAATTGGGACTGATCAATATTCTAAATACAAATTACTCAGTACTTTATAAATGGCACTTCAACTAAAACCATATGTAGCAGGTCATACCCTTTTAACAAACACCTGGTGTCAGAACTGATTGTCATAATCCATTAATTAACTTTTCAGCCCTGTTTTGTCTTGTATACCATGTGAAATCTGTTTTGGTGGGTAAATGAAGCATGAGGCATCTGTTTGTTCTTACACATGTTAAAACTGTATTTTATTGGAATTCAAGCTTTGACATTCTATTTCTTGCTCATAAACAATTCATGTCAAGTAGTCCTAACTGGCATGATACAGAAAGATACTTTGACATCTTATCTTTCATTTCTTGGTTTCTGAATCCACAGACCTTAAAAGAATCCCTTTAAGGGTCAGTTTAGAAGAAAGCATGGACTTATGTATTTTAATAACAATATCAAACAAAGAAATTGAAATCCTTATCAACTCCCCAAAGATCAGGTATGATGTAAACATACTTCCAGCTTATCACTTTACTCAAAGCCACGCCTAATAATCAATGCTTATGAATAATGAATAACATTCAAAATAGAGAGGCATTGCTTATATTCTGTGGATGTGGACAGGTGACAACAGAACCTCTAGGACAAACTCACATCTGTGGTGGATACAATGGAGAGTAAAAAACATTAGATGTGTGATTTCAACTCAATTCTTCACCTTCCACGTTACAATTCTAGTTTGATTTGATTTTTCTCTCGTTAAAACATATCTCAAGTGTCTGTTTTTTCTTGAGGAGTCATACAGAATAATCAGTAATTTCTGCATTGAAGTGGATATTTTGCATTACTTTCTACCGATGACTTTTACAGAGGCCAGATAAATTCATGTGTTTGTTTTTGTAATGGTTTTTCAAATAAAGTAAACCAAAACATGCTCTTTTAAATGTGCTTTTTAAATGATATTTTGGACTTATTTAGACAACTTAAAGTAAGTCTTTCACACATAAATAAAAGAATTACTTACTGATTTAAACACATTGTTTAAAGCTTTAACAGCATTTTTAAGTAATTTAACCCAATAATATGAATGACGTGTTTGTCATACTCCTGCCAAATGGCTTAATATTGACACAAACAATCCCATTGGCCTTACTATAAAACCCAGACAAAAAATAATATTTACATCCAGCGTTCCACAGAAAACATCATAAAAACATCATGGCCTGTCAATCAACCAATATTTCAAAATGCATAAGGCCACGATACATACAGTTTAATTTTTATATGCATTTATTCCAGCAATCTATAAAAGGCATCTGTGTACACTGTCGACAGATGTGAGCCTCATGAAGCATGAATGTGTGTGTGTGTGACATGTCAGTGATGAATGTCAACATGTAAACTGAGAATCCACACATAACTAAGTTCTTCATCTGTAGGAACCACACGATGATACAAGGAGGGTGTTCGGAAATGAGGTGGCCAATAAATATAACAAGAATGAATTCATTTCAGTGAAACTGTTCCCTAATATTTGCAAAGAAACAGTCATTTAATGGTAGAAGACTGGGTGAAGGACAGCATATGTGTGACGTTATGGTGGACAAGGAAACTGCTATTGATGAGTCAGCAAAAGGCAGACATGATTGTAGGTTCTGTTTGCAGTCTGTTTTTCTGTGTGGAATTTAGGCATTGTTAACATTATAATCATATAAAAGACAGTTTGTTGACTGACACAATCATTCCATTGTTAGATCTGTGGAAACTGTAACTAACATTCTGTCATGAGTTGTTGGATTGAAGCAGTTTGAATCTTGAAATGTAAGTCAGTGTCGCTAGAAAGGGTCGTTGTCTGCACGGGTACTACAGATGTGTACCCCAGGTACGTTTCTGTATACAGAAATGTACCCTGGCCATTATCAGAATACAGAAATGTACCCATTCCATTCTGCATTGTGGAGTTTTCTTGATCGGAACTCTCATACTGTTGTATATTAGATGCATTTGATTGCGTTATATAAGAGCATACACAGTATAACAAATATTTCACGGTGCACAACGTACACCACTCGCAATCAGCTGAACGGGAATAACTACAAACGGTTTTGGTATTGGGTCGCGGAATATGGACTCGTCCGTCGTTTAGGGTACGTTTCTGTAGTTTGACTTTGTTTAGGGTACATGTCTGTATACAGAAATGTACCTGGGGTACATATCTGTAGTACCTGTGCCGACAACGACCCTTCAGCGTCAGTGTCTATGCCAAATAGTGAACACTGAGGAAACCTGGTTACTTAAGTGGTTGAATTGTTACAGTTGATATGACCTTGGGCCATCAGATGCCCTTGTGCCAACCAAACATATCATCGTTCTGATTTCTATACTTAAGGATTTATATAATCGACAGAAAATCACTGGTTCGTTGAAATTTGTCACTGACTGTCCAAATTTAAGTTTACACTGCTTTTAGCAATATTTGAACAATATAATGGTGTGGAACATCCGAAATGTGCTTCACACATTATACCCATGTGGGGAATCGAACCTGGGTCTTCGGCATGACGAGAGAACGCTTTAACCACTAGGCTACCCTACCGCCCCCTGTCCAAATGTACATCATCCTCAGTTCATTTAAAATGATCACATCTCTGCATCTGCATATTTGAATGAGCTCTATCCAATAACGCTGACTGCCCACCTGTTGTATGATCTATCTACTGTGGTTTACAACAGAAAGCTTTGTTAAAGTTGAATTTACAGCAATATTGTGTTTCCAAATGGTTCTATTTCATATCATTGTAAGAAAACACAGAACTGTATGGATGACAACTCTCGTTTATTGCATTTTAATGTAGAATATTACACCAAACTCAAGCTGGAGCATGGTGTAAAAATCAACATGGAAATGTCACTAATACATTAACCTAGAGGTTGTGATCCATAAAGATGTGTATTCTCATTTACTTACCAATTTCTAGAATGCCAGTAAAACAGTTATATTATTGTATATATAAAATGTTGGTTTACAGTATCTATGGTAATTATGTTCATTGAGGGTTCTGTGTATTGCTGTTGGCATGCAGTATATTACACTTGAGAGACATCAACAGTATTGCTAAGTGGAAATATCAAGTTTCAGAATTTATTTCCCTATAATTATTGACATGACAGGAAATAAGAAAAAGACCAAAAACAGAAAAATAATTTAAGTCAAATATTTGCATGAACAAACAACAAAATAACCTGTTCTTTACATTAAAAATTGATACTTATGAACAATTTAAGACATAAAACTAAACAGGGTTAAAGTCATGGAATAAATAGACATCAGACATGTACTGAAGTCTTTGTGCATCTTCAAACAAGCTCTAACAAACTTACAAATCCCAACAAACTAAAGAAGTTCATCACTTTTTCCGTAATGGGCTGAATCTTCTTTGATCTCACTGGTGTCAGTTTGGGAAGCACCAGATATAATACCAGAATCCACAGGTTCATGGATTTCCGGCTGTTCAATAATTACTTCGGAAGTCTGGGTTTCTGAAGAAGGTTCAAAGGTGACACATGTTCCACGCTTGGACTCATAGCCACCAGGGCTTCTTGCCCTCATGTGGGTATAAGGGCCTTTTGACCTGATACGATGAGGATGATGGTGATGATGGTGATGATGACGAAAGTGGGAATGTTTTGGGTGAGTCTCCTGACCCTCGGTCAAGGGCTCGAGTTCATGCACCTCACTACTGATATGGTTTGGGTTGCTTGTACTTGAACTGGACAGTGTGGACTCGGACATAGCATACACTGTCTTGTCCACGTGTTCTCGGGCAGACGGCGAACAACAGTCTGAAGCTGGCCAATGAAACTGACCAAACCCTCCCTGAGGTCCAATAGTTCGTAACAGAGACTGGAAGAAAAACGTGGAATATATCCATGCAATGGTAATAAGTAACATCAAAAATGTTCCAAACTTTTGATATACTAAAACAGTGGAGGGCATCATGAACACACCGGCCAGGAATGTTGTCAATGCAGCCATAGCAACTGCACTTCCCATGCGACCAATCGAACAAGCAACTCTCATTTCTCGATCCAGGTCTGGCGAGAGTCTGTACGCTACTCCATAATGTAGGGTAAAGTCAACAGACATACCTATAGCTACAGTAATAACCACAGATTCAAGAATGTTAAGCTCCCATCCAAGTAGCACCAGTGATGCAACCGTGACGATGATTATACACGCAATTGTAATGATGGCATAGAAGCTGATCAAGATGTTCAATGTAGTGAAGAAAGCTACAATAGCTGCAAATGATAACGACACCCCGAGAGCTAGAGGTGTTCCTTTAGCTAGACTGTTCTGGAGGTCATAGAATTTTAAATTTGTCACAAACCATCCATTTCTCATTTGAGCTGGGGCTTGCACCATTTCCTCCGTCACCCAGCGGTTAACCTTGAGATAAAACTGTTTCATTTTCTCATAGGAATGGCTGTACGGCTCATTGCTGAGGAACTCCACCATAAAGGCACTGATACGTCCATTAGAGAATCGAGGTCCTGGGGAATGTTTATTGTAACGAACAGCTGGAGTTTTCTGTAGCAAAGGGACATAGCGTAAAAGACATTTTTTGAACTTATTCTTTGGAAAAGGGAAAGCTGTTTCATTGCAACATGGTTTTTTATCTTGTGTACATGGTCTTTTCATGTACTCATTGGCAAAATTCTCCAAGAAGCAGTTGGTGAGTTGTAAGCCAGGAGAGTTGAGATAAAATTCAGATTTACGGAATCGAGCACAAAATTCCAATAGCCAGCGCTGAGCACTCTCTTCAGCTAGGTCGAAGTCAGTATCTAGAACAAGGGAGCCTTTCTCATTGGGATTGAGCCTGTCCCCTGTGTCACTAGCATGAATCCCCCACACTATAGTAACAGGTAACACTGGGATGTCCTCCTCCTTCATCTTCTCAAAACTGAAGCTATCACTCAGCTGAAAATCATACTTCTCAAGCCAATGATTGGAAGAAAACACCTGGAATTTTCTTGTAGATGGCAGTTTTAATTTGGGATAGTAAAAAATGACAATCATACCACAGATTCCGAGACCCCCATACAGGAAGAGCCACACATAACGGAATTTAATCACAAGGCATGGGAGGAGCTTCTCAAAAAATATCCTTGACCAGTCTGTGAGGAGATAGTACAATTTGTATGGAACTCGACACAAATAGTAGCAGAAATTGTTCTCTTCTGTATAAAATTCATGACTGGAGCACACACAAAAATTGCACCATTTTTCATAAAGCATGATTGTAGCTGGTATCCATGTAAGAGTCAAGAAGAAGTTGCAGATGACTGCCGTCCCAGCATATATACTAAAGCACTGAATGGCAGTGATGTCACTGATATAGTTAGCATAAAATGACGCCGCTGTTGTCAGACTCGTCACCAGCATCGATAACGTCGCATGACGTAGCGTATCATTTACTATTTTTTCAAGAGTACCATTATTTTTTTCTGCCTTGGCAAGGTGCCAAACTTTGCAATAAATAAAGACGTCATCAGCACCGATACCTATCATGACTATTACAGTCACCATGTTCATATAGGGGAAAAATTTGATTTCAAACACATGCATGTACAAGAAATAGGCGACAGTAAGGGCCCAAAACATCGCCAAAAAGGTCATCACAGTGATGAAAATTGATGCGGAGTAAAGCCACATGGCAAGGAAGATTACGCAACCAGCAGATGCCAACCAAACTGTGTCTGATTTTAACATCTCTTGGAATAACTTGTACTTAAGATCAAATTTAGCTCCGACAATTTCCACGCCATCAAAGGTCCTTGGCAAAGATTCCATATAATTGTATAGATCTAAGGAGCTTCCTGCGACAGGGAAAAATGTTACAGCATACGTCAAATGTGGTGAGGAATTAGCTGCAACATTTTGGATGAAATGGACGTCAAGAAGGTGATGGAAGAGATGATAGACTGCATTGTACTTTGTGCATTTTGATGGGACTCCATGACACTCCTCCTGGGGATAGCTGGACGCTGTGTACCAAGCTCCTTCAGAATACTCACAGTTAATTCCCATGGTGTAATTACGATAGTAGTCGGAACAAGACTTGAGCAATTTGAGAACATTGGACACATCCTCTTCTGTGATTGTATGGCAGCTTGACTTGTTGCTTAGCAACGCTATATAGCTTCCCAAAGACCAGCTTCGACAACAGTTTTTCTCTGACTCTACGTGAATACACTGTTCGGTGAAGAGTGAATTTGATGACAAATACTGGGTCTCCATTTTGCACATGGCCTTGATATGATGAAGTGTGAATAGATTCGACCCATCTACTGCTTTGTACACGACTCTCGCATAATCCTTGTCTGAAAGAGAAATCAAGAAGGGGTGAGTTAAACTTACAACTGTTTTGAAAAGTATACAACTCAAACTCAAATTTAAAAAATACTTATTCTTTCATAATATACTATCTATAATCTGTCATACTTGGTGGACAAAAATAATGAAGCCCTTGTTTTACCCACAAAAATACATATTCCTTATATTGTCACCTTCATCACAGACTATGTTTAAGTGTCCAAAGAATAGCTACATTACCCTTATTTGCTATACAAAATAAGTAATATCCCAGTTAAATGTGGGGAAAAGTCCAACTTGACCAGGGCTATTGATATTTAGCAGTGTGTAGATATGAAGATTAAACATTAATCACATATAATCCTCGCGTTACTCATGTGTCTTTTACAAGACAAAAAGCTAATAATGATGGCCTGTCAGGTCCATCAACTAAATACAGAAGTATTGCAGATATAGCCCTTGTTTTTGCTGTCACATTCAGAGAGGGTTATAATCTGGGAGCAAACTAGTCAACCAGTGATCAAAGGCAACACAAATTATTGCTCATTTACTGTCCTTTATGGGGCAGTGGGGTAGCCTAGTGGTTAAAGCTTTCGTCATGCTGAAGACCGGGTTCGATTCCCCACATGGGTACAATGTGTAAAGCCAATTTCTGGTTCCCCACCATGGTATTGCTGGAATATTTCTAAAAGTGGCATAAAACAAAAATCACTCACTCACTCACTGTCCCTTATATCAAGAACATCATAAACTATTTTTCTGCCAAATCATTATGTTAACATTTTTTTTATTTCATATTATTACTTGATTACCAAGAATCGCAATCTATTAAATCGTGTTATCTAAATTATATGGGAATTCTTCAATGAGAATATATGTATCAAGCATTATTATGCATTGTGCAATTATTCGCCCAAACCTCAAGTCAGAGTTAAAGCAGTTGCTTCACTATTCCTACACTGTTTCATTTCTGGTGTCCCCCGCCGTGATGTTGCTGGAATATTGCTAAAAGCGGCGTAAAACCATACTCAGTCAGTCAGTCAGTCCTACACTGTTTATAATAATGAAAGTCAAAGTTGCAAATGGTTTGAATGAAACAACAAATATTAAAATAACAAGAGATCAAATCAACAACAATAGAAAGCCATACATGGAATTCCACAGAAGAACTTATCATGGCGCCGATCTTCAACATGAACCAATGCCTCAGTCACATTGTCCAATTCATCTCTTCCTGTCTGTTTGCCAAATTTTTTGCCTTTTCGATTCTTTTTCTTATTTTTCCTTTTCCGACTTCTTTCAAGAACCTGATCATTGGCATGGTAGTTGAATGGGGCAAGACTCGCCTTGCCGCCAATGTTGTCAATGAGGTTGTCATAGGCAACGGTTCTCTCACTGATCTCTGTCCCTCGGGGTTCAAATCCCTGCAAAAGGAATGGAACAGTTAGTTAATTTTCTAATGCATTCAGTTCATCTTATTCTGATGACAAATCACCTTGGTCTTAGTGGGACCCTCTAAGTAATGAAGAATCAGCAAAGGATGAAATCATCTTTCATAACTTTTGATACCAACCTATACATAACGAACCAGACACAATCAATCAAGTCAAAAAAGGAGTGAGTGTAGTTTTATCCCACTTTCAGGAAAAAGTCCCCAATATGGTAGTGGGGATACCAAGAAATGACATGACACACATGATGCAGGAGTTGCAATGTCATCTAAGTAACCACAACAAAAACGTAAACAGTTTTGTCCTTTAACTTGCCTTTATAAATTATCAACACCCTTTTTATGAACACTTATTCCCCAATGTTTTACCTGTTTCCATAACCATCAGACTTCCCTGCCACACCCTGAACAAAGGCAGAACCATCAGACTTCCCTGCCACCCTCTGAACAAAGGCAGAACCATTAGACTTCCCTGCCACCCTCTGAACAAAGGTGGAACCATCAGACTTCCCTGCCACCCTCTGAACAAAGGTGGAACCATCAGACTTCCCTGCCACCCTCTGAACAAAGGCGGAACCATCAGACTTCCCTGCCACCCTCTGAACAAAGGCAGAACCTCAGAACAAAGGCGGAACCAGACTTCCCTGCAGACTTCCCTGCTACCCTCTGAACAAAGGCAAAGGGAACCATCAGACTTCCCTGCCACCCCCTGAACAAAGGCGGAACCACCCTCTGAACAAAGGCGGAACCATCAGACTTCCCTGCCACCCTCTGCCACCTTCCCTGCCACCCTGAACAAAGGTGGAACCATCAGACTTCCCTGCCACCCTCTGAACAAAGGCGGAACCATCAGACTTCCCTGCCACCCTCTGAACAAAGGCTTCCCTGCCACCCTCTGGCAGAACCATCAGACTTCCCTGCCACCCTCTGAACAAAGGTGGAACCATCAGACTTCCCTGACGCCTTCTAAACCATCAGACTTCCCTGCCACCCTCTGAACAAAGGTGGAACCATCAGACTTCCCTGCCACCCTCTGAACAAAGGCGGAACCATCAGACTTCCCTGCCACCCTCTGAACAAAGGCGGAACCATCAGACTTCCCTGCCACCCTCTGAACAAAGGTGGAACCATCAGACTTCCCTGCCACCCTCTGAACAAAGGTGGAACCATCAGACTTCCCTGCCACCCTCTGAACAAAGGTGGAACCATCAGACTTCCCTGCCACCCTCTGAACAAAGGTGGAACCATCAGACTTCCCTGCCCTCTGAACCCTGCCACCCTCTGAACAAAGGCAGAACCATCAGACTTCCCTGCCACCCTCTGAACAAAGGTGGAACCATCAGACTTCCCTGCCACCCTCTGAACAAAGGCAGAACCATCAGACTTCCCTGCCACCCTCTGAACAAAGGCAGAACCATTCAGACTTCCCTGCTGCCACCCTCTGAACAAAGGGAACCATCAGACTTCCCTGCCACCCTCTGAACAAAGGCAGAACCATCAGACTTCCCTGCCACCCTCTGAACAAAGGTGGAACCATCAGACTTCCCTGCCACCCTCTGAACAAAGGTGGAACCATCAGACTTCCCTGCCACCCTCTGAACAAAGGCAGAACCATCAGACTTCCCTGCCACCCTCTGAACAAAGTGGAACCATCAGACTTCCCTGCCAACCCTCTGAACAAAGGTGGAACCATCAGACTTCCCTGCCACCTCTGAACAAAGGGTGGAACCATCAGACTTCCCTGCCACCCTCTGAACAAAGGTGGAACCATCAGACTTCCCTGCCACCCTCTGAACAAAGGCAGAACCATCAGACTTCCCTGCCACCCTCTGAACAAAGAACCATCAGATTCAGAACTTCCCCTGCCACCCTCTGAACAAAGGCAGAACCATCAGACTTCCTGCCACCCTCTGAACAAATCAGAACTCAGACCCTGCCACCCTCTGAACAAAGGCAGAACCATCAGACTTCCCTGCCACCCTCTGAACAAAGGTGGAACCATCAGACTTCCCTGCCACCCTCTGAACAAAGGCAGAACCATCAGACTTCCCTGCCACCCTCTGAACAAAGGTGGAACCATCAGACTTCCCTGCCACCCTCTGAACAAAGGTGGAACCATCAGACTTCCCTGCCACCCTCTGAACAAAGGTGGAACCATCAGAACCATCAGACTTCCTGAACACCCCCCTGCCACCCTCAAAGGAACCAAGGTGGAACCATCAGACTTCCCTGCCACCCTCTGAACAAAGGTGGAACCATCAGACTTCCCTGCCACCCTCTGAACAAAGGTGGAACCATCAGACTTCCCTGCCACCCTCTGAACAAAGGCAGAACCATCAGACTTCCCTGCCACCCTCTGAACAAAGGTGGAACCATCAGACTTCCCTGCCACCCTCTGAACAAAGGTGGAACCATCAGACTTCCCTGCTACCCTCTGAACAAAGGTGGAACCATCAGACTTCCCTGCCACCCTCTGAACAAAGGTGGAACCATCAGACTTCCCTGACGCCTTCTAAACCATCAGACTTCCCTGCCACCACAGAATTAGCATACTGAGGACAAATTCTAAGTCTAAAGCCCCTCAAGGATCAAGCACAGGAAAATCAAATATAGCATTGTTATTGAAAACAGCAAAATGATCCATCATTTATTTCAAAGAAACCAACACCAGTATTATGCTAATCAAATACTCAAACGTTTATCACGTTTATCTCACAGAAAACTATCACAGAAAAAAACATGTGGTTTCACATTCTAGAAGAGGGCAAAATGTCAAACCATTTGTGGTATTAACATGCTTAAGGGTTTCACATTACAAGTATAATTACAGAAAACTAATCAATTACATCATTCATCATTCCTTTCACCAAACAATTTAATTTTCAGCAAAAAGTTTGTGATTGCATAATACATTGCTTTTGGAAAACAAATACTCCACAGAATCATGAAGCATCGATTCAATACCAATAAAATGGGGAAAAATTAATTGGCACTGAAACGAGAAACTCAAAAACAAACCATCATTACGCATATTTGCATATCAGTTTCAGCTGCAATTAATCAAAAGTGTCCTAATCTGTAAAACAATACTATCAATACGGCCCTGTTCTTCCAGTAAAAATATAACCAAGTATGGTCTATTGGCCTTAAGTGCAACTGATAATATTTGTGTCCATCATTCATCACAATATGATTCATCATCATGTGATAGGTGCGCGGTGTAGGAGAGAAGTTCCCAAACACACTTAACTGATGTGGATGTCAATATTCCTGTTTGTCTGCCTGTGTAATGAACTTAAGTGGAGCTTGTTGTCAGGGTATATGTATACATTTCTATCAATAGATCAAATGACACCTCAAAATAAACCAACCGCTCCCAAAATAGTGTCTGGCCCCACCACTCACAATTGGCAAATAATCATTACTTATTTTTCTGTCTTTGAGGGACCAAAATAGCCGCATACAGGAATTTATGTCTCTCAAAATCCAATAATCAGAATGCAGATTCTTGAGGTTGTGTGGCAAGGCCTGGTTTGGACAGACACACCATGCAATTACCATCTAGAACTGCTGACTTGACTCAAAGAAAGATGCCATGCTTGGTGGAAGAGAAGTCATTGCAAGAATAAACTAGGTTCTTCAACTATTCAAATGTGATGACTTCAAAGCTACTTTAGTTTTAAAATGTGTGAATTTGTGTGAGTTTGTTTGATGATGCCACAGCAATATTCCAGCTATGTCACAGCAGCTTAAAATTGGTGACAATCAATTCTGGATGAGACAATCAGATTAGAATTGTTACGCCGAACAAACGCCGAAGGCCCGGGTTCGATTCCCCACATGGGTACAATTTGTGAAGCCCATTTCTGGTGTCTCCTGCCGTGATATTGCTGGAATATTGCTAAACACGGCGTAAAACCATACTCAGTCAGTTAGTCAGTCAACACTAGAGGTGTGACGATACAAATATTTTGACAATATGATACGTGTTGCGATATCTTGGAACGAGACAATTCAATTCTATGTATATCACGATATGCTATCTTTAGTCATTTTCTTTCAAAAATCATATTTTGATAACAAGTGACAGTGTAAATTTTGACATAACCGTATCGATATATTTATCGTCAGATAAAGTATCCCGATTATCAATACTACGATATATCGTCACAGCTCTAATCAACACACATGAACCAAGTCACTGAATCTGACCACTGATTCCTCTGGTTGCCTCTCATGTCCTGCAGAGTTGGGGAACTGACCTAAACTGGCCTGGAATATCCCATGGCACATGAATTTGAGGATGCTTTGAAACTTGCTTCAGTTATATCCAGGTATCAGATGGATAAGGAAGTACAGCCCAAAGTAGTGAAGACACAGACAGCTTCAACTTACGAGAAACCAACAAGACAGGGAACTGATTGATCAAAAATCAGAATTGGGTAAACATGAAATTTGAACCCACAACCAACGGATGCTTGGGGTGAATGAGAGACAGTGTCATTCTGATTTTAGCAGTATTCAGAAATATCTTGGCGAAGGACGTGAAAAATGGGCTTCATACATTGTGTGGGAATTGAATGTTCATCCATGATGAGAACACACTGTAATGACAAGGCTACCCTGCTGATTCTTTGGTAGCAAAGAACTTCACAAAGCTTCTTTCAGTAACAGCTCAGCCATTGTGGTAAAACAGTGAGTTTTAATATATATTTCTGTGAACATGGTATATATTGTTATGCACACAGTATATAATTCTGTGAACATTGTTCTTGAAGTTGTCACATGTGACAGTACCCATTTTCTTCTCAGTCATTCTAATCATGTCATAAGGTACTACATACCAGCAGTGGGTCGTTGAAGTCCAGTTTCTCGCCATTGATGATGGACACCACAAGACACGTTGCCACCACAACCAGGACTACCAGTAGAACGACATAGGGGTAGTGAGCCAGAATACGGGCATAGCTGCAAGAAAAACAGACAGGTTTAAGCATGGTCACACCAAACATGGACTTGTAATTCAACAGTAAGCAATTAAATCTGGTAACCTTGTGAAGAGTGAGTGAGTGAGTGAGTGAGTGAGCGGTCGGTCGGTCAGTCGGTGAGTGAGGGAGGGAGGGAGCGGGTGAGTGAGGGAGGGAGCGGGTGAGTGAGTGAGAGTGAGTAAATGAATGAGTGATTGAGTGGGTGGGTGGGTGCATGGGTGGATGGATGAGCGAGCAAGCGAATGAGTGAGTGGGAGAGAGTGAGTGAGTGACTCACTGACTGAATGACTCAGTGAGTGGGAGACACCAAATGGAGTTCACACATTGTACCCACATGGGGAATAAAACCTTAGTCTCAGTGTCTTGGTTTACTGTGAATAAATCAATTATTGCAATACGCTAGTGAGATCAATACCCTAGTGAGATCAATATGACCTGTCACATCAGTATTTGTATATTTCATACAGTGATCACAGGGAAACACATTGCATATTGAATATCTACTTCAAAGGAAAAGATTTTTAAATTTATTGCAAACATTCAACAGGTTAACATATTGATAAAAATTCCATAGTTAAATCTGAATTATATTAAAATGTTTAACAATACACGACATAATCAACAGTACACATTCAACAGTGTCTATGTTGTAACGAAACAATCATTCTAGTTTCAGAACAGGGACAGGACTAATTTCTAAAACATAATCAAGAGCTTTGAAAAAACAATGAAGGTTCTACACATCCAAATAAAACAGAATTGTTAGTATGGTGTATGCTAACAAAGATCAAAACAGATTTGTCTACACAGCAGGCTTATAGCTACAGAAGGCTGATAAACATTTGATTTATCTGATTGGTAACATACATGGCTTGTGATCATCACATCCAATTGCAAACTGAAGTTGACACCAGAGTGAGTGAGTTAGTTTAGTTTTTCGACGCTTTCAGCAATATTCCAGCAATATCACGGCAGGGGACACCAGAAATGGGCTTCACACATTGTACCCATATGGAGAATCGAACCCGGATCTTTCGCGTGACAAGCGAACACTTTAACCACTAGGCTACCCCACCGCCCCCGTTGACACCAGAACTATCAGTGATATGTGAGTGTGTTGGGTTCAAAGCTGCTGTGAACAGTAATCCAGCGATATGGTTGTCAGCTTCCTGTGGAAGGAAACCAAGACTGACTGACTGACTGAGTTTGGTTTTACGCCGCTTTTAGCAATATTCCAGCAACATCACGGCGGGGGACACCAAAAATGGGCTTAACACATTGTGCCCATGTGGGGAATCGAACCCGGGTCTTCGGCGTGACGAGCCAACGCTTTAACCACTAGGCTACCCCACCGCCCCAGGAAACCAAGAAGTGATGTCTCAGATGTTTATCACTTTGGTTGGTTGGTTGGTTAAAACCGCACTCAGCAAGATTCCAGCTATATGGGGGCAGTCTGTAAATAATCGAGCCTGGACCAGACAATCCAATGATCAACAGCATGAGCATCAATCTACGCAACTGGGATACTATGACATGTGTCAACCAAGTCAGCAAGCCTGACCACCCAATCCTGTTAGTCGCCTCTTAGGACATGCATAGGTTACTGAAGACCAATTCTAACCACAGGCATGGGCATCGTGCTGACAAACCAACCTTATCAGGGCAAACCAGGATTTGAAACTACACTGATAGGTTTCCAGCACATAGGTTTCCAGCATGCCCATGACATGCAACTTTGCACAGCTATGGTCAAATGTATTTCTTGTTTTCCAGAACAGCACACACTTCTTCATTTGTCTGTATCTTTGTTAAACAAAGTCAAAATTTCCAGAAACTCAACCTCAAGCAACCCATATAACACACCTCCTTGTCAGATCTATGGCTTTTCAAGGCATGTATGTGAAACATTTGAACACTTTGATAATATATAACTGGAACTATCACATGTCTTTGAAGAGAATAGATGATTGCTTGTATCTCTTGCTGAAACTCCTATATATTAATCTACACAATTGAGTCAGTCACATATATACTGCACTTCAGTTTCCATGATTGACCCCAGCACCATCTGTCAGGACAAGTAATATTAGCATAATTCACTGTTTTCACAAGAAACAAACTGTCAAATTACAGGCCTAAATCGGTCAACTATCTCAAACAGATTCATGAATATCTACTAAAACATGGAACATCAAACTACACAATCATGCTTTCATCTCTGAAATGCCATCAACATGTTTTATAGAGTGCCAAATACTACTGGGCCCATCCATGGCCCTTGACTGAATCTCTTTTCTTTTGATTTTGATGGTTTCACTTTTGGGTCCTGTCTGTCAAGGGCCACTACTCCAACACTACAACATATTGACCAAGTACAAGAGGCTTGTAATTACTTTAAAAGCAAACCAAACATTCTTTGGCAAAGTGGGCAACATTTAACATTTTCCAATTTTTGTTCCTTTGACAGTTTCAATTAAAACCTCAGGCCCTACTTGGAACATTCATTATAATGCTTTGAGAAATTTTGTTAACATTTTTCTTGAAATTGAATTTCAGTCAAAGTTTTGAGTACTTGAAATCCTTTCAAGAAAAATTATGTGCTACATGCTTTTCCTTTTCAGTGACAAATTCTGAGTGCTGATGTACTGGCTTGACGAGCATCAAAACATGTAATCCTTCCTTTGTGCAAAGGTTTCTTATTCTAAAATTGGTAAGACAACATATTAATGGGGATTCCATGTTACAAAACATCACAGACAACCCTCACTGGCCATAAGAGGCGACACAATGAATCAGTGGTGAGGCTGATTGAGCGTCATCATACACAGACTGTGGACATATTATCTGTCGCTGGTTCTGTCTGGTCAAGATTTGATGTGTTTTACAGACTGCCATCATGAATGGCATTAAACTGGCATCTCATTCACATAATTATCTGTCCTTATTGGGATATGTGAAGGGGTTGGGATGGGATATGGTGAAGGTGAGGGGTTGGGATATGTGAAGGGGGGATGATGGGGTATGGTGAAGGGAGGGGTTGGGATATGTGAAGGGGTTGGGATGGGGTATGGTGAAGGGAGGGTTGGATATGTGAAGGGGGTTGGGATGGGATATGGTGAAGGGAGGGTTGGGATATGTGAAGGGTGGGATATATGGGATGGATATGTGAAGGGGTGGGAATGGGATATGGTGAAAGGGGGTTGGGATATGGTGAAAGGGGTTGGGATATGGTGAAGGGTTGGGATATGGTGAAGGGATTGGGATATGGGTGAAAGGGATTGGGATATGGTGAAAGGGGGTTGGGATATGGTGAAAGGGTTGGGATATGGTGAAGGGGATTGGGATATGGTGGGATATGGGATATGGTGGAGGGGTTGGGATATGGTGAAAGGGTTGGGATATGGTGAAAGGGTTTGGATATGGTGAAGGGGGTTGGGATATGGTGAAAGGGGTTGGGATATGGTGAAAGGGATGGGATATGGTGGAGGGGGTTGGGATATGGTGAAAGGGTTGGGATATGGTGAAAGGGTTGGGATATGGTGAAGGGGGTTGATGGTGGGATATGGGATATGGTGAAAGGGGTTGGATGGGATATGGTGAAGGGGGTGATGGTGATGTGGGTGTGTGATAGGGGCCTGAACAGCCCAGCTAGCTATGCTGCTGCAGATTGTCGTGAACAGTTCAATCCACTGGTCCTCCAAGACAGAGATGATAGCTGGTTTCAAATTCACATAAAGTTCCTGGATTTCCCCAAAGCTGTAACTGCCTACAACATGCAACACTTCCTGCCAAACTAAGTACACATACTGTAAAGTAACCAAAATACTGTTCCAAGCTGCATTAAACCCAACCCAATCATACCCATACAGACTCGGAAGTTCTTCTCTCGGTTGACTTCCAGACTTGCCTTTGATGTTGATATTTGCACAGCCCACTGAACAGCACATTGCCCTCACCTGTGTTGTACATCTCCTAGCTAAATACCAACAACTGACAAAGTCTCACCCAGGACCTTCATTATTCTCTAGTCCCTGAGGTAGCAGACATAGTGGCCAATTTGTAGTTCAGTTCATCTTTCAGGGAGTTGACACTCAAAGACTTTATCTTTAGTAATCTTATGATTCATGAAGTCATTAAAGGTATCTGGATATGGAGTGAGTGAGTTTAATTTTACACAGCTTTTAGCAATATTCCAGCAATATCACGGTGAAGGACACCAGAAATGGGCTTCACACATTGTACCCATGTGGGGAATCGAACCCGGGTAATTGGTGTGACGAGCGAACACTTTAACCCTTAGGCTACCCCACCGCCCCATTTGGATATGGAAACATTCATACAGAGATGGTAAGGGGAGATAACTTTCAGTAAGGTGTACATGTAAAGTGACACAGGTGTGAGATAATTACACTTACATAGATAGGTAGGTATTTGCTGAACATCCATGGGATTATATGCAAACTGTTACCAGCATATCCTGGTATGACAAAGGGGCATAACTCAACCCAGACCCTCTAAATACCTAACACCTAAAAACTGTACCACATTGAAAATTTCCTTGCCAACCATGCTCATACCTCATAAAAATACTGTTTACAGGAGGTTAGAAATTCAGATAAGTGACTGACAGCGTTCATTGGAGAAGTGGTTTCACACCACTTTTAGCAATATTCCATAAGCATAAAACATCAACCATACCTACACAGGGCTCCAGATAGGTACCTTATCGGCGTATGTATGGATGAAAAATATACACGATACGGTAGGAAATAATTTAGAAAACATAGAAGATACGTACCACAGCAAATGGTGTATGGCCTTAGAATCATTTACAGACGTATTTATCTGAAAAACTATTGCTTTATTGTTTATTGACCTGTTTACACAAGAGTAGTAATGTTGTGGTGCACACATGATACGGAACACAAGATTACTGGTACTCCATTAAATTCCATTACTTATACGCCATTAAATTCCATT